ACACAGGTGGGCAGGGGGGAGTCGGGAGTCCCGAGCCCATCCGGCTCTCCTGGATCAGGGCCGACTCCACCACGTCCTACCTGGGTGGGTCACCTCCTTTCTAAAGCCTCAGTTTTCTCATCTGTCAAATGGGAACAATAATGGGTGGTTTGGAGAGGAACCGAGGTGACGGCTGAGGTCACTCGGTACAGTGCTGGACGCACTGGGGCCTTTCGTACACATTGGTGATCTGTAGTATGACTGAGTGGATTGGGCGACATGACCCGTACGCTTCCAGGCCCCAACGGGTGTCCTTTTAACTGTCCCTGCCCCTCCTGTGCATTCTCCCTGCTTCTCTTCATTTCCCCGCTCTTCTCCTGCTCGCTTTTCCTGTCTCCATCCTAGGGGGTCTCATCTGTTTCTCACCCCTTCTTGCTTGGGCTTCGCTTTAGTGTTCTCAGCCCTCAATACTCAAAGTGTGGTCTGTGGACCAACAGCATTAGCGTTCCTGGGGCTTGTAAGACGTGCAGAACCTCACCCCACCCCAGACCCCACCTGGGATGACTGAGTCTGAGCTTGCCTGTTAACAAACGCCCCCGTGGCTCTGCTTACACGCTGGGCTTAGCCATGCCCAGAGCCTCATGACTACAGGGTCATTTCAGTCTTTGCAGGGATCATTCGGGAAGAGGAGGTCTGATGGGCTGGGCCTGGGAACAGTAGAAACTTTCGTGGCCTTAATTTAATTCTTCTCCCCTTCCTGGCCACCGGAGACGACCACTGCCTGGGAGTCCCGTCTTGGTCAGCTCTGGCTGTGTGACGTGGGCTTAGTGACAGCCTCTCTGAGTCTTGGTTTCCATTTCTTTAAAATGGGGATAAAGCCCTGGACAAGTAGTCCAGTGAGTTAGAGCATCATCCCAGTACACCAAGGTGGTGGGTTTGATCCCCAGGTAGGGCACATACAAGAATCACTGGCGAATGCATAAGTAAGGGGAACAACAAATCTATGTTTCTCTTCTCTCTATCGAAAACAAAACAAAACAAAAATGGGGGTGATAATGTGTTTACCCCCAGAGGGTTTGAGTGGGCAGAGGAGTTACCCCTATAAAGTGCTCAGCATAGGGAATAGTCACTAATTTAATCACAACAACAACAATAATGGAACCCATGCTCTTATTTATTGATCACTTGCTGTTTGGTCCCTGGTTTGCAGGGGCGGAATATGGGGGTCCCACTGTGGAGACCCTCACCGAGGGGTCCCTCACTCTCTGATTTGCCTTTGGTGTTTCAGGGTGAGTGTTAGGTCTTGAAACCCTGGGTTCCGGTCCCAGCTCTGCCCCCTGAGCTCTGGGTGACTTCAGGTAGATTACTTCATCGCTGTACCCCAGTTTGCTCCTCTGTAATATGGGACTCACAGTAGCCCTGTCCCAGGGGCGGCAGTGGGGAGTCAAGGAGCTGATGCTGGTACATCTCTGGCAGTTTCATAGTCAGTAAATGTAGCGGTCAGGTTCATCATTATGATTGTCATTTAAAAAATATGTTTTTATTGATTGATTTTAGAGAGAGGAAGGGAGAAAGAGAAACATCGATTTGTTGTCCCACTTATTTTTAAAAAATATATTTTTATTGATTTCAGAGAGGAAGGGAGAGAGAGAGAGATAGAAACATCAACGATGAGAGAGAATCATCAAGAGGTGCCTCCTAACCGCCCCCTACTGGGGATCGAGCGGGAAACCCGGGCATGTGCCCTGACCGGGAATTTGAGCCGTGACCTCCTGGTTCATAGGTCAACGCTCAACCACTGAGCCACACTGGCTGGGCTCATTGATTGATTCTTGTATGTGCTCTGACCCGGGATCAAAGTCGCGACCATGGCATATGGGGACCACATTCTAACCAACTGGTCGTTGTGAATAATACTGTTTAAAGGCTGTAACAGGCCTTGCATGTGTGCAGCTGTGACCAGCTTCCCTGTGGGCTCCAGGCTTCAGGACCCGCTCCTGACCCCATGCTGCCCGCTTGGCTTTTTCCCCAGGCCCCGCCCACGCTCCCACCCCGCCCTCCTGGCCCACGGGTCTTGGATCTCCGGCAGCACCTGGAACGCTGGGGCCACAACCCCGAAAACTGCCCACATGTCCAGGTGTCTGGGGGCTGCTGCCGCGGGGCCCTGGTGAAGATGGGTGGCCGCATCAAGACCTGGAGGAAGCGGTGGTTCTGCTTTGACCGCCAGGCCCGCCGTCTGGCCTACTACTCCGGTAAACACAGCCTGGCGCTGTGGGCCCCAGGGTCCTGGGACAGCACACTCAGGGGCCTTCCCCCCAGACACCTAGGGGTCCCATCCCCCATCCCCCTTCTCCCTTAGGCCCATGGGTCTGGATCCCCAGGACCCAGGAGTCTAGACCCCCCACTCCCCACTCCCCCCAGGGCCCAGGAATTTGGTCCCTATTCCTTCCTAACCCACCACAACTCAGGAGTCTGGGCTCCCACCTTCCCCTTTCCCCAGGACCCAGGAGTCCAGATCTCCACCCTCTTCTTCCTCCTATAGAAAGCCAGCCTCAGTCACATGGATAACAGTTTTGTACAGTTCTGGGTCCCAGACCCCATTTTCCTAAGATACCCAGGAGGACTCAGACCCACATTTTCAGTGCCCCCTTCCCCCCACTCCATCACCAGGAGTCTAGGCCCCTCTCGCTTTTCCTGTAGGGGAGCCAATGAAGCAGACCTCTCCGTGAGTGTCAGGGACCAAGGCATTGAGGGACCTGGGATTCCAACCCCATTCGCTAGCCTTGTCCAGCCTCCACACCAGTTTCCCATTTAGCATCAACATTCATTCACCCTCCAACTCTAGACTTGGGCCCAGTGACCCCCACCCTGCCCAGCACACACACACACACCTCACTAGCTCTGTTTCTTTCCCCACATCCTTCTGTCAGATAAAGAAGAGTCCAAGCTCAAAGGCGTCATCTACTTCCAGGCCATCGAGGAAGTCTATTACGACCACCTACGCTGTGCTTTCAAGGTGAAGTCCCCGCTTGCTCCTACCCTGTCCTGGTCTGAGCCCCTGCAGTCAGGCCTTAGCTACTCCCCGGGAAAGGCCCTCCACAGCCCCCACTGTCGGGGTATTCCGTCCAGAACAGGGGATCAAACGGGTCATTTCACTGCAGGGGCCAAACATTAAGAGTGCACTCTCTGGCTCTCAGCCACTGTTACTTTTCTTGGAGCAAAAGATTTAGATCAGAGGTTCCCAACCTGTGGGTCGAGACCCCTTTGGGGGTCGAACGACCCTTTCACAGGGATCGCCTAAGACCATCGGAAAACACATATATAATTACATTATGATTCATAACAGTAGCAAAATTACAGTTATGAAATAGCAACGAAAATAATTTTATGGTTGGGGGTCACCACAACATGAGGAACTGTATTAAAGGGTCGCGGCATTAGGAAGGTTGAGAACCACTGATTTAGAGCAAAAATTTGGCAAACTGATGCGAAGCTGGAGATACATTTCTGAAGACGGCAGGGTGAGGGCTGAGGCAGCCTGGGAGCATCTAGGAGACAATGGCTTCAGCTTCGGTCCAAAGTTGCCAAATGGGAATGGGCCCCGTGTCACATCATTTCTTTTTTCCCCTAGAGGACTCAGGAATTCAAATGTTTATGACAGTGCAGAGCCACCGATTTAAATGTTGGGAACTGGTACAGGGTGTAGAAATAGCCGGGGAAAGCAACCAGTTGGGACATCAGGGAAGTGACTAACTTCCTTTTGCCAGCCTGAGTTTTCTCACCTGAAAAACGAGCACACTTCAGCCCATTTCCTCAGCGGTCAGAAGGCTAAAGTCAGGTGATGGATGTAAGGGATTTACTGAATTTGGGTTTGGCACGTAAGAACTCAGGGAATGGGTTGTAGAACACACCAGCTTTCCCCAGTTACAAATCAGGGAGACCTACATTTAGGAGAGGGGAAATCTGAATGCTTAGATTTCTAATATAGGAAAAGTTAGGCTGGGGATGTGGGGGAGAGGAACATGGGATTCCTCCTTTTAAATTCCTCTCTCCCCAGATTCTAAGCCCCTTAGATGTGTTAATTCATCTAATCCTCATAACCCAATGAGGTAGGCAGCATTATTTAGGAAGGCGGATGGGGAAACAGATTCTAAATAACTTGTCCAATGCCTCACAGCCTGTATAAGTCCCAGGGCTGGGGTTCCAGCACGCATGTTCCCTTAACCACCTCCACTCCACCACTTCTCCCAGAGCCCCAGCCCGCGCCTGACTTTCTGCGTCAAAACCTATGAGCGCCTTTTCTACATGGTGGCACCCAGCCCCGAAGCCATGCGTATTTGGATGGACGTCATCGTGACCGCGGCGGATGAGAACCACGTCCCCTGAGCGGCACCACCCTCTTGGGGGACGACCAGCGAGGCCCCGCCCACGCCGGGAGCCTGGCCCCGCCCCTTTGGGACTCCGCTGGGAATTCTGCAGGCGCCGCGCTCTGCTGGCCTGAGCCGCGCTGTTCTTTCTGGGCTGCAGGTGCCTTCCCCGGGCGGACAGACGGACGGACGCCGGGAAGCCAGCCCTGGGGCCCTGGGGCCCTGTCGCTGGCAGGAGGAAGATTGCGGGGGCGGGAAGGAACTATTTATTGGTGCTCCTGTATATCGAATTAAACATGGAGGAAAAATTGGTGGTTGTTTGTTCCAACCCAGGCCTTTGTGCCCCTCGGCCCCTTAGGCAGGTCATCCGAGTTATAGGTCCCTCTGAGAGCCAAGTATCCCGCAGCCGTTCTCTCTTTAAAAATGGAGGCTGTCAACTAAGGTCAGGCTGGAAGAGGGGCGTGGAGAAGCATGGGTTCTTAACCTCTGGGATTTTTAAATTATTTTTATTTTTTAGTTGAAGGCCTACCTGCTTGCACCCTTTTTGATTTGACTGGGCTCTTGGCAATTACTAGGAGCTCCTAGGCTCCTGCCCTCCAGGCCTTGGCACATGTTGTTCCCTCTGCCCTGCCCTAACCAGCTAGCTCCTCATTCTTCAGGGCTTAGTTGGGAAGCTGGTCCTGACTGCCCAGGCTGGGTCGGGCACCCCTTGGAGCTCCCCTGTCCCGTCCCTGCACACCTATGTTATCATGGTGATGGGTTTATGTCCTTACAGACTGGGAGCTCCATGAGGGCAGAGCCAGGGCTGTCCTGGTCACTGCAGTGTCCCCAGCACCGTGGGGCACATTTCATTCCGTGAAAGTGAAACAAAACAAAACCAAAACCCCAACTTCCCTTTCACCTCTTGGTCGTTGTATATACTGTTGCTTTTGCTTTGACAGCTTTCCCCACTCCACCCAATTTCTACTCATCATTTCAGTTTTAGCTCAGATGTTTCCTTCTCCAGGGAGCCCTCCCTGATTCTCGTGGCTGAGTCAGATGCTTCCTCTGGGCTTCCCATCCCAGCTCTGATCACTCATCACAGCTTTGACTGCTCTGGGTCATCACTGCCGAGGAGTGTCTCCGAGCTGGATGGGAGCCCCGGAAGGCGAGGATGGGGCTGTCTCGGTCACTGCTGAGTCTCGGATGCACAGCAAAGGGCCTAGTGCAAACTAGCTGTTGAGGGAATGTCTAATGACTGAATAAATTGATGGGAAAAAGATGCCGAGACTGGGGACAATGGTGAACAAGGCAGACATAGAACTCGATGCTTTAGGTTTGACCCTAGGTGTCCCCTCCTCCAAGAAGCTCTCCCTGCTCCCTGGGCTGTGTCAAGGGTCTATTCTGGGCTCCCACAGTCCCCCAGGCTCCCCCACAGTGACCACTCTAGGCTGTCACTGTGTGGAGACAGTCTTCTCCCCCCCCCCCCCCCCAAACTCTGGCATTCTGTCCTTCTGGGACCTGGGTGTCCTGTTTGTCCTGTCCCAGGATTCCTTGAGGATCCAGAATTGGTACTTCTGAGTTCCAGGAATGCTGGCGCCCTAGTCCCCAGGCCCTCAGTGACCCCAGGTGGCCCTCCAGGTGGGAGATGTCTGCGTTCTTGGGTCAGTTCATCCCCCAGCCCCTCTGCATATGGCACGTACTGGGCCAGCGTGGTGGCCTGTGACCAGTGTGGCTGACAGGCCCCTGTGTCAGAAGAGCCCTCTCAGGATGAATGCTCTGTGGTTGCTGCCTGGAAAGTCTTAATTTTGTATTTGAATTTGTGTTTTGTAAGTGAAGTCTGGAGCGATGTGAAGCCTGAGTTGGGGGGATTGGAGCCTCGGCTCCATCTCCCACTTCCCCCGAACGTGTTCAGTCAGCCTTCCCTTCCCTGCCCCTCCCTGTGACCACTGCCACCCTCCAGCTCCGGCAGGGCCTGGGTGTACGTGGGAAGCTCAGGGTCAGGCATCTCAGGGTGGGACGTGGCAATGGGCAGCTGGTGGAAGGAGGACCCACAGCCAAGGTTGCTCTAGTTGTGGGGCAGCGTCTCTAGACATCTGTGAGGGGCTGTGCTCACCCCACAAGTATCCCTGTGCCCAAGGGAACATGACATTGAACACCACGAGGGGCCCAGAGAGGTGGTGGAAGAAAGCATTTCTATTTTTAGTACTTTAAAAAATATATATATCTTTTATTGATTTTTCACAGAGAGGAGGGGAGAAGGATAGAGAGTTAGAAACATTGATGAGAGAGAAACATCAATCAGCTGCCTCCTGCACACACCCTCCTGGGGATGTGCCTGCAACCAAGGTACATGCCGCCCTTGACGACCCTTCAGTCCACAGGCCGACACTCTATCCACTGAGCCAAACCGGTTAGGGCTATTTTTAGTACTTTTAAGGGCACTCTTTTCTGCCTTTTGAACTGGGTCCCCAAAGTTTCATTTTGCACTGAGCCCTGACCCTACCCTTTCTCTAACACATCCCAGACAGTACATCCCAGAGGGATTGGGTCTGAGACAGGCCGAGAACGTCACTGGGCTGAGCCTGCCCTGTCCCAGGGGACAGAAAACCCATAGTGGATATGGCCCCAGGCTTGTCTGAGGCCCCGGCGTGAACTCCAGTGCTGGGGCCTGCCTCCACCCTGACCCCTCTGTGCATCCATCCGGGGACCAGATTCTAAATCTTTTTCCAGTGACCTCTGAGGAGAAGAGCCGGGAAGAGTCACTGAGCAGGTTAAACAGAGGCCCCACGTTCAAACCTCCCTCTGCTCTCTGGTCTGGGGCCAGGTGGGGGTCAGCGCCCAGAATCTGGGCAGGCCTGAGCAAGAGGAGGCTCCCCACCCTGGGTCCCATTCCCTCCCAAGACGCTAGTTCTTCTGGTCCAGCCAGTTAGGGTTCCTCCCTGAAACTCTCCCACGCGGCTGGGGCCTGCAGGGCCTCCTGCGTCTGAGCACACGATAATAATAGCATTACCAGCCAGCCTCCCTCCACCCCTCCAGAGAGGGGTTTTCAGACCCATTTGGCAAAGGAGGCAGCCCAAGTTCAGAGAAGGAGACACGGCTGTTTGAGGTCACACAGCAAGGAGATGGCAGAGGCAGGATTAGGATCCCAGACTTGATACTTTGCCCACTGCCTCACTCCGCCATGGACACACTCCTCCCTTTATTATAGAACAGACACCTCAGCGGCTAAGAGAGGTGAAGACACTTAGCACAGGGTCACACAGCAAAAGTGGGGCTGGGATTCCAGGCTGGGAGGCAGGGAGGCGGGGGCAATGCTGAATGACCTCACCAGCAGTCATTCACTTTCTCCCTCATCATGATGCCAAGTGACCCCACCCCTGTGACTGAGGTGCTAGTCATTGTTGGGAATTGGGGGGGGGGGGGTGGCCAACGGGATCTGGGGGACAAATAATATCTTAACCAACACGGCTGCTATTTTTACTGCCATCAATAAATCTTATCTATGAACCAAGAGAAACAAGAGTAAAGCTGTAACTTTATAGTATAGTACAATAAATATAATATAATTTATAATATAATATAATATAATATGATATATAAGCAGTCACATATATTAACCAGGATATGGGAGTGCTTAGTCATTTTGTGGTTTGCACAGTGTTCTTGTTCGTTTCTGTGTTCAGACATGGTGACGGATGCAGTGGTCCTGATTGTGTCTCGCTCCATTCCGGTCAGTGTGGCCCTGTCTGGTGGTCGTGGTGTGTTGGTGTGTCGCACAACACCATGACCGCACTGTGAGTGCCAGGCCAACTCCTGGCCAGCCGTCGGGGACTGCCTTTCTCTCTCTTACCTGGAAAACTGCCCAGGTCCCCCACCGGACACCTGGTCTTCTCTGTCTCCCCTTCTAGAGTCTTTTCCTTTTTCACACAGAGGCCACAGAGGCATTTTTCCTTTTTCTTTAATAATGAGGTACATTCAGTGACGTGTGTAAGTATATAACTTGGTGATCCTTTACATATTTGTACACACGTGTAACTACCTCCCAGAGGAAGAGTGTGGGGCTTCTCACCACTGCTTCTGTGGGACAATGCCTGGCCCTAGCCCATGGTAGCCCCTCTACTGAGACTTCTTTCATGAGTTTTGTCTGTTCTAGGACTTCATATACGTGGAGTTACAATGTATGTTTTATTTGTTTAAGGCTTCTCAAGCTCAACATCGAGTTTTTGAGATTCGTCCGTGTCACTGAGGCCATTGGTGGGCTTTTGCACTGCTGTGCAATATTGCACAGGATTCGTGAACTACTCTTGCTTTTCCCCTTCACGTCCTGATGGATATTTGCATTATTTTCCAGATTGACCATATTAGAAAGTAAATCTGATTGTGTCCCCAGCTGATTGAGACCCTCTCAAAGGTTCTCCACTTTTCTCAGATTTAATTCAAATCCCTTCTCAGGGCCTGTAACGCCCTAAGTCAGTGGTTGGCAAACTCATTAGTCAACAGAGCCAAATATCAACAGTACAACAATTGAAATTTCTTTTGAGAGCCAAATTTTTTAAACTTAAACTATATAGGTAGGTACCTTGTTATTAACTTAATTAAGGTACACTCAAGGGGCCAAAGAGCCGCATGTGGCTCGCGAGCCGAAGTTTGCCGACCACTGCCCTAAGTGGTCCTGGCCCCTGTTGGGTGCTTCCGTTTTACTTTCCACCCTTCTCCCTCACTCTCTGAGCTCCTGGTGCACTGCTCTCCGCTGAGTTTGAATGGGTCTTGCTACTTCCCACCTCTAGGTCTTTGCACCTGCTGTGCCCTCTGTTTTGTAATGCTCCCTGCCTCCACCCCGACCTCCTTATGGGCCAAATCCTCCATGTCCTCGAGACCACACAACGCTTACATCTTCAGGGAAGCTTCACTGACTGGTCCCCTTCTAGGGCCCACACCTCCTCGCAGCTCCCTTCCACTTCCTCCTTCAATGTCCTCCAGTGAATAACAATTTGTATGATTATTTGGTGAATATCTGTCTCCCCCATCAGACGGTGAGCTCTGTGAGGACAGGCACTGGTTCTGTCTTAATCTTCAGACCACAGCTGGCACACTGTAGGTACTCATTAAATATGTAGTGAGTGCCAAGCGTAGAGTAGACCCCTCTGTGAACCTCAGCACTCTCCCCCCTTCCCCCCAAATACACAGACTTTCTTTTGGGAATCGTCAGGTAACCTGGACTCCCGCCATTTCCCTCCTTGGCAGCTGTGGGTGGCGCACCCAGGGGCGGGTCTCCCGCCCCACAGCGGACGCTGATTTGGCCTGGTTGGGCAAGGCCAAGGTTGCC